GCCATCAACCCCTGCCAGATGAGGAGGCTGGGACAGGGGATAAGCCGCCCTTCCAGGCCATATTAGTGAGCGAGAAGGAAAATGGCAGGTTATTCGGGGTGGGCAAAAAACTTGGCAAGTGACCGGAGGCATCTCGGGGTGTATCTACTACCCAGGATCGCATGGTACGCACAGGAACAGCACAAGAAGCCTTTGCAGGACTTGAAGCAGAAGAAGAGGGAGGAGTCATGAGAACGAGGATGGAGGCGGGTTATATTCAGGGGAGGGTAGTGGAAGCTGCAGACGCAGGGCCAGGGGGCAGCAGCACCTCCACCCGCTCTACCCCTGCCCTCTGGAGGTGGCACCAGCCCTGCCTACCAGACAGGAGAGGAACGCCGTGCTAATGACATTCTAACCACACCCTGCAAAACATGAGTTTCAGTGCAGCTGCTGCTGCTTCTGAGAATGGGGGGTGGGTTACTACTAAGAGCAGAGACGTTACCGGAGAACAAATTCTGCCTAATGTCATGCGTACACTAATACTGACACGCGTTTCTTGGATAAGAGAGGAGTTTGAAACACTACTGAAAGTACACCAACCAGATATTAGGTGTTGTAGAACCATGGCAAGAATGAGAGAATCGATCCAGAGGAATGTGAGTTCAGTATTGCTGATTATGACTCATTTTACGAACCTTTCTAAGAAACTTGCAAGAGGTGTGTGGTTATCTATGCTAGGCAAGACCTTAGAGCCAGCCAGGTGAGGGCTAGGAGAGGATGGATTTTAAAGACTCAAGTGGTGTAAATTAAATTTAAGGAAGGGACGTACTATCGTCGGGTGTATCTACAGATCCCTCAAACTGTGGCTCCACTAAATCAAAGGAACTTAAGAGCCTTTAATAGACACGTGGCGATGCTCAACCCTAGCCACCTCCTTATCATGGGGGACTTTAACTATGGCGACATCAATCTGGAGAAAAACGAGTTCACCCCAAATGACTTGAATAACCCTGCTACTCTTTTTGTGTAGAAACCTGAGAGATAATTTTCTATTCCAACATGTTAGAGACCCGACACATTACAGAGGGAGCAACACCGCCACTGACCTCATCATATAACAAACGAGGAGAGGGTACAGGCCAAACTGGAACACTCACCCCAAAGTTGGCACCAGTCACCATACAGGTTATTCAGATTTAACTGGCCACTCAGTTCAGGATACAAGGCCAGGCCAAAAATATTACAAGGAAATTACAACGGGATGAGGAAGAGATGAGGGTACACTGGCCTGACTCATTAAGGCACAAGAACGCAGACACTGCGCTGAATATCATAATTAGTAAAGTAACCCATTTGATCGATAACATATATTGTACCCAAGACCAAACCTGCGTTTAGGAATACGAGGGGATCCCAACACATGAACCATGCGGCGGTCGACAGATAAGAAGAAAACCCAGAAATTCAAGACGTGGGTTGGGTCAAACGATGAGCAAGACAGGAGGATGTGGCGCAAGAGCCAGAAACCAAGCAAAGATAGAGTGTAGAAGGGCTGAAAAGGTGTTCCAGAGGCTGGCTGCAAGCGAGGTCAAGTCAACCCAAAGGCGTTTTACCGCTATAAAGTCAAAATTAAAAACGCGAGAAGGAGCATCAGACCAGGTTTGCAGATGGTAAGGCTACGCAGATTCTGACCAGGATAAAGCTGGGAGGCATTGAACAGCTTTTCCTCGGTGTCTACAAGAGTAATTAACCTTTCTGCGTTTGGAGGACAGACGGTTCGACACAGCACTGACCCATTGTGTTCACAGAAGAGTGGTGTTAGAAATAAACCGTCCAGCAGTCCACAGCCCCGGCCCGGACATGGTGCAGTATCCTAGAGTAAGCAAAAAGTTGTGCAGCGAGCTGGCAGAAGTTCCCCAAGATCCTGTTTGCAAAATGCCTGGATGAACAAATGGCCCCAGTGAATGGAAAGTGTCTTTTGTGAGCTCCTACTAAGAAGGGCGATCATCACCCAATGAACAGCTATAGACCGTGGATTAGCATAATATGTAAAGTAAGCACTATTATTATGCTGCACTGAAGATTTACTACGAAACAACCTTTTAAAGGATTGCCAACACGGTTTTATGCCGGGCTCCAGCTAACACAATTGTTCAAGGTATTGATATTTGACCCATATTTGGGAACGCGGTGGTAATATCGACAATATTTACTAGATTTTTGCCAAGGCTTACAGTGTACCTACGAAAGGCTGAAAAATCAAACTGGAAGGGTGGCAATGGAATCGGGGAATGTCCCAGCGTGGATAGCACTTTCTGCCATGACCGATGGTGTGTGGTGATTAATGGCATCACGAAATCAACATCCGTACCTGTCGGGCTGGGTGGGAAATTACAGGGCAGTGCATTGGGCCCGCTGTTGTTTGTTTGTTTCATAAATGACATGCCCGACGTTAGCCAATTCTCCGTACAAATAATGCCGATGACGCCAAGTTATTTCTGGGAAATCAAGAACCAAGCGGACTGTGGATGAGCTGCAGAAGGATCCCCCTGTGGGCTCCAAGAATGGCTTCGAAGAAATGGCTGCTGAGATTTAATGTCACAATGTGTAAGAGAATGCACCTGGGGCGTACCAACGGTAAGGAGGCAAGGTATCATATGTCCTAACGGATGAAGAAACTGCACTATTTGAGACTGAATGAGAATAACCCTCGGTGTGTATGTTGACAATGAGCTGAAGTTCCCGCCATTGCGAGAAGAAGGTAACCAGTAAAATAAATTGATGGGTCTTATAAGAAGGTCGTCTTCAGATATCTAGACGGTCCGTCCTCATAACGATCTTCAAGAGGAAGTGCTTCCCCATCTGGAGTACTCGTTACCCAAGTCTGGGTCCCCGAGATATGCTAGGACACTCTACAGTTGGTTGAAAAATGTTCAAAGGAGTGGCCACCAGAGGTGCCTGTGACTTCTCAGCACCCCAGCTACCCCTGAGAGATTGAGATGCCTGAACTTGCTCTAGCTTATACTACAAACAGGCAAGGGTGACCTAATTGAGGTGTATAAGCATCCAGGGGCACTACTCAGCCGAGTGTCCTACTTGAGCTGGCGGACGCCTGCCCCACAAGGGGTCACAGCTCAAGATTGAAGAAGCCGCAAGTCCAGAAAACCATGAGGGCAAACGTTTTTGGAGTGAGGGCTGTAAACCTGGAACACCCTGCCAGAAAGTGTTGTGACGGTACCGAGTGTGAGCTCTTCAAGACAAGACTTGACCAACACTGCAGTGGGTTCAGGCAATATCCAGAGCTAGTGCATGCCCAGTACTTGCCAACAGTGCGTAACAGAGACGTGACCGATCGCCCAAGCGGCTAACGAGCCGATCAATGGTGAAAAGGATAAAAGTAAAGTAAAGCAATGAGACTGGCGTCATTTAAAACTTCAATAAAAGCAATAGGAGAGGGATAATGTACCCACCACCATCAGTCTCCATTATAAACCTCTCTTCTATGAATATAGTGTTTTATATAATTTCTGTCCTCCAGGCACTTGCATAAGAGAAATATTATCACCGATAAGTGGTGACGTTCAAAGTGTAGGAGAACATAGACACGCTCTTGAGTGGATTGTTCCCATAATTCAGATGTCTAGTGGACACAATGTGTGTTCTTTTTTATTTTAAACGTGTGTTTGTAACATATAAGTAATTTACTTCTCCTAAGACAACATTTTATATTCCTGTCATCATACTTATGTAATATAATATGAAACGGTAAGAGTTCACTGCAAACATTTCATGTACTTTCTTTATGCACAGGAACACGGTGGTTTTACATGGTTACAAGTACTGTATTACATTAAAACTTGAAAGTATGGTGTGATAGACATGAATGATCAAGGCATTGTGTTTTAGCTACTGACTGACAGTGGCCAATATCACTGATAATGTTATGTAGACTGTGAAGAACTACAAAAGATCTCTATGAGCTTCAAGAATGGTCGAAGAAATGGCTGCTAAGATTCAATGTCACGAAGTGTAAGAAGATTTACCTGGGTCGCACCAACAGTAAGGAAGCGTATCGTATGTCCCAACAGGACAAATGACTGCATTAATTGAGACCAAATGGGAAAAGGACCTGGGTGTGTATGTCGACAATGAACTTAAGTTCTCGGGCCATTGTGAGAAGAAGATGAATCAAGCAACGAAACTAGTAGGTCTTATAAGAAGGTCATTTAGGTATCCGGATGGTCCGTCGCTTGTCACGAGGTATGCTAGAGACTGTCAATTGATTGAAAATGTCGAAAGGAGGGGCGCACCCAGGGGGGTTTCCTGGTTGCCCGGAACCCCCCCCCCTCCAGGTACTGCATGGTCAATGGGGAATGAGAGACTGACAGGCCTGACATTACTGCACATGCACCGAGATATACCAGTGGATATAAACCAAGTAATTAACACATTTGCACAGAGAAATCCCAGGAAGATGAAATTTGCCATTGTACTTGGCAAAAATAAAGGCAATGTATTTTACGGGTGTTCAAAAACTGATAAGCAAATTTTATGAGCTCTGTTAGTGTTCAATGTTAGTTAGTCATTATATACAAGTATTAAAATGCTTAATGATTGTTACACATTCAGTACAGTAATAACCATATTATAGTGCAGTAAATTCATGTATTTTAAAATTGTGGAAATAATATATTAAAAATTTATGACTTCTATTATCCTGTAATATAAGTCTATATACAAAGATTAGGATGCTAAATTACACCATCTTCAACCTCAGAATATTTCCTAAGATTCAGTGCAAATAGCGTCAAATATTGGTCAGATTTCAAAAAATTTTCCGGTAAATTGTGTAGTTCATAGAGTATGCACATAGACTCCATATAATGGTTTCTGGCACACACCATGTGTGTTCATGCGTGCGTGTGTCTCCGACATGCCACATAACCAGGTTAGCCAAAACTGCCTGGCACAAGACTTTTGGCCAGGACTGTACATCAAAATGATCAATAAAAGAAACTAACTTTGTATTTATGTTGCTTTTATTTGAGATACATAAAACTTAGTGTGTTTTGTTATTTTTATTAAACAGGCAACAACTATAACAAATAAATGACAAGCTAAATCTGGTCCCTCCATTACAGTCAGACTAGGCTACTTCACACCCAATGAGAAAATATAAACGAGCCTTAATTTTTATCGACAAATCACTACACATGCAGAGAACAACTGTCTCTGTATCACTACAAATACATAAATAAGTTAAATTTTACCACAAATACAGAGTTTCTATATCATTATAATTATAGAAAACATATGAACCAAGAGACAAAGAATATCTCACAGATAATTCAGGGTGATCATAGATGACTTCAGTTGACCTTAGATGACATCAGGTGACCTCCCATAACTTCAAATAACCTCAAATTGGGGCTGGGACAGGGGCGAAGGCAGCCGCAGCCGCTTTGTACTTGGCCACCAAGGCAGCAACTGCGGGAGGCATAGCTGAGGGCAGAACAAATACTCCATGTTATGTCTGGGGTATAAGAATATATCTGCAACAACACTATCTGGGGTACAACACCATATCTGTAGGTACAACACTATATCTGGGGGTACACCACATATCTGCAGGAAAAACACTATATCTGGGGTACAACACTATATCTGAGGGTACAACACTATATCTGGGGTATAACACCGTATTTGGGGGCACAGCACTATCTCTGGGGTTACAACACTATCTGGGGTACAACACCATATCTGGGGGTACAACACTATATCTGAGGGTACAACAGGGGTACAACAATACTGTATTTATGTGGGTACAACACTATATCTGGGGTACAATACTATATCTGGGGTACAACACTATATCTGGGGACAACACTATATCTGGGGCACAACACTATATCTGGGGCACAACACTATATCTGGGGTACAACACTATATCTGGGACACAACACTATATCTGGGGCACAACACTATATCTGGGGCACAACACTATATCTGGGGTAAAACACTATATCTGGGGTACAAACACTATATCTGGGGCACAACATTATATCTGGGACACAACACTATATCTGGGCACAACACTATATCTGGGGCACAACACTATCTGGGGTACAACACCATATCTGGGGGTACAACACTATATCTGAGGGTACAACAGGGGTACAACAATACTGTATTTATGTGGGCACAACACTATATCTGGGGTTACAACACTATATCTGGGGTACAACACTATATCTGGGGCACAACACTATATCTGGGGCACAACACTATATCTACAACACTATCTGGGACAACACTATATCTGGGGTACAACACTATATCTGGGACACAACACAATATCTGGGACACAACACTATATCTGGGGTACAACACTATATCTGGGGCACAACACTATATCTGGGGTACAACACTATATCTGGGGTACAACACTATATCTGAGGGTACAACACTATATCTGGGGGTACACCACATATCTGCAGGAAAAACACTATATCTGGGGTACAACACTATATCTGAGGGTACAACACTATATCTGGGGTATAACACCATATTTGGGGCACAGCACTATCTCTGGGGTACAACACTATCTGGGGTACAACACCATATTGGGGGTACAACACTATATCTGAGGGTACAACAGGGGTACAACAATACTGTATTTATGTGGGTACAACACTATATCTGGGGTACAACACTATATCTGGGGTACAACACTATATCTGGGGTACAACACTATATCTGGGGCACAACGCTATATCTGGGGCACAACACTATATCTGAGGTACAACACTATATCTGGGCACACACTATATCTGGGGCACAACACTATATCTGGGCACAACACTATATCTGGGGTAAAACACTATATCTGGGGTACAACACTATATCTGGGGCACAACATTATATCTGGGACACAACACTATATCTGGGCACAACACTATATCTGGGGCAACACTATCTGGGGTACAACACTATATCTGGGGCACAACACTATATCTGGGGCACAACATTATATCTGGGACACAACACTATATCTGGGCACAACACTATCTGGGGTACAACACTATATCTGGGGCACAACATTATATCTGGGACACAACACTATATCTGGGGCACAACACTATATCTGGGGGCACAACACTATCTGGGGTACAACACTATATCTGAGGGTACAACACTATATCTGGGGTACAACACTATATCTGGGGCACAACACTATATCTGGGGTACAACACTATATCTGAGGGTACAACACTATATCTGGGGTACAACACCATATCTGGGACACAACACAATATCTACACAACACTATATCTGGGGTACAACACTATATCTGGGGCACAACACTATATCTGGGGTACAACACTATATCTGGGGTACAACACTATATCTGAGGGTACAACACTATATCTGGGGTACAACACTATCTGGGACACAACACAATATCTGGGGCACAACACTATATCTGGGGTACAACACTATATCTGGGGCAATAACACTATCTGGGTACAACACCATATCTGGGGCACAAACCATATCTGGGGTACAACACTATATCTGAGGTACAACACTATATCTGGGGTACAACACTATATCTGGGACACAACACAATATCTGGGACACAACACTATATCTGGGGTACAACACTATATCTGGGGTACAACACTATATCTGGGACACAACACAATATCTGGGGCACAACACTATATCTGGGGGCACAACACTATATCTGGGGTACAACACTATATCTGGGGCACAACACTATATCTGGGGCACAACACTATATCTTGGGCACAACACTATATCTGGGGTAATTACTATATCTGGGGTACAACATTATATCTGGGGTACAACATTATATCTGAGTACAACATTATATCTGGGGTACAACATTATATCTGGGGTACAACACTATATCTGAGGGTACAACACTATATCTGGGGGTACATTACTATATCTGGTGATACAACACTATATCTGCAACCATCATATCACAACAACCAATATCTGGGGTACAACACTATATCTGGGGCACAACACAATATCTGGGGGTACAACACTATATCTGGGGCACAACACTATATCGGGTGCAGCACTATATCTGGGGTACAAACTGATACGGTCTTTCCGTTTATATAAGCTTATTATAAAGGATAAAATACTCACTTGGGGGTGGGGTTGGGCCCAGGGCTGGGGCTGCTGGGGCAGGTGTTGTGTAGAGAGCCTGCAGCTGGGCGATCTCCTGAGCGGTGGGGATGAACGCCGAGATCATGTCCTTGGAGAACGCGAACGGCACTCCTGCTACTGTTGTCAAGGGTAGAAGAGAATGAAGTCACACATGAAAGCCTATATCACAAAACTTTGCACGATATTGTATCTTATTTTTTTATCAGAAGAAAAATTACTCATTAGTTACATTTTGAGAATTCATAAAAGTGGAATATGCTTATACGTAATACCCAACCTCATTTATGATATTACTGTGGTACAAATTATATTTAATAGCTTCATGGGTAGATATATTTACTCTTCTGGGGAAAGGAAAAGTTGTAGTGGATTCTCCCTACAAACGCTGTTTGTCGCTGACGAGCCGACCCACGAATCCAGCCGCACCTCGTGTCTAGGTCAACCAGCGCCGCCTTACATGACGGAGGTCAACTATTAAGCCACGCCTACCTCCGCTATATAAGATCTCACCTCGTGGTGACCTATCTCTTTCTACCTACAGCCACCAGCAAGCAACACCTCCTCCTCCACTCCTGCCTGGCGGCCCTCGCTCCAGCCGGCGACCATGGTGACCCACACCTTGTTGTGACCATTCTTACTACCCACAGCTACCAGCAAGCAACACCCCTCCTCCTCCTGCCTGGCGGTCCTTGCTCCCGCCGGCAACCATGGCGACCCACAAGCTTGCTCCTCTGAGCATCCTCACCAACCAGCTCTCTACATCACGCTTGTAACCATGCTGCCTTCCCAGCACCAAGCTGCATTGTACATCCAATATAATATGTATACAGAGAGCACATTGTGAGTTTCCTTTCTCCATCCCATCCTGAATGTGAACCAAATATCTCATCCCACAAAGTATCGTACCTCCTGGTGGTGGCAAGGCAACGGCAGCTGAGACCAGAACTGCCAGGCACACGACGATGATGCAATTCTTCATCATCTTGTTTATATTTTATCTGTAAACACACACTTCATTTCAGTAATCGTGCATAATTCTTCTCTTCCCTCATAAGAGATAAAAAAATTTATATAATCTAACATTTGTCTAAGCGTAAGTTTGATGCTATTTATATAGGTTGAACAATAAATTAAATTTACTAAAATTAAACGATAAATTAATTGTAAAGACCAAGATGAATCTTGTATGCATGTTTAGTCATTGTCTTGATGATTTACTGTATGTACACACACACATACACACACACACACACATATATATATATATATATATATATATATATATATATATATATATATATATATATATATATATATATATATATATATATATATATATATATATATATATATATAGAGTTTCATTATTCAAGATAAATTTACAAAGGTAAGTACGATGAAAATATCCCTCATTACAGAATAAATGGTATATACAGTACCTAATTGGGGAAGATTTCGGCTAAAACGCAAAAATAACATCCAAAAATTAAACATTATTAATACAAAATGTTTTTAATAATTATTATGAAGATGTCACTTTCACTACTCTGTAAATAGATAGATATTAATTCAGTAAAACCGCCATACAAGTTTACATTGATTCAGCATGTATTGTACAATGTGCAGGAAGAAATGTACATAGACAGTGTAGGTGTAAAATGTTCATTACAGTGTACGAATATAAACAATGCACATAGACATTGCAGGCATACAAGAAATGTACCTAGTCGGTGCAGGTATACAAACAATATACAGAATGCATGTATATAGACAATATATTCGCAGAGCCCCTTAAAATCTTATTCTGCAGATGTATGGATGAGCAAAAGGTCCCAGCAAGTGGAAACTGACAAATGCACCCTATACAGTATTCATGCAGGGTGATCGCCATTGCACGAATAATTACAGACCAGTGAGCCTGACAGGCATAGTGTGTAAAGTACTAGAGCATTATACGCGATGCCGAGATAAAACATCTACGAAACAACCTTGTAAAGGACTGCCAACATGGTTTTATGCCGGGATACTCCCACTTGACGCTGTTACTTGAAATGTTGGATGTTTGGACACCGATTCTGGAGTGGGCTGACAATATTAACAATACATACCTCGAGTTTGCCAAGGCATTTGATAGCATACCCTAGAAAGCTAAAATTAATCTGGAAAGGTATAGAATTAGGGAACCTTTGAGTGTGGATAAAAAAAAATCATGTCCACATGAAATGCTTGGTGATTAATGGCCAGAATTCGTCATGTGTACCCATAACAAATGGGGTAATGAGACCGTTGTTGTTTGCTCGTTTCATTTTTATTTATTTTTTTCTACTACGAGGATTAGCCCACCCGGGCACAGTTCACTGACCCACATCGGGGCCTGGGGGACGAAAATGTAATAAATATAATAATAATTCATAGTAAATAAAATTTATTATAAAATACAAAATTAAAAATAAAATAATAATTCATAGTAAATAAAAATTTAAAAAAAATACATTAAAAATTATATAATAAAATAATAATGGTAACAATAATGATAATAACAACACTGCAATACTACTACTACTACTACTAATAATAATAATAATAAAGATGTAAACAAAATCATTAGTGAGAAACGATACATGTATGTTGTGTTGTCAAAGTAAGGGAAACAATTGAAACCCTGCAATTGTGTGTAAATGAGGCAGAAAGTCAGATCAGCAGCCTGGGACTTGGTCACAATTTTTGTGGTGCCATATTGCAGCAGGATCTACCACTAGACAATATATTGATTGTCCAGATGCAAACGCTGTAAGTTATTCAAGGGAATCAAGAACCAAACTGACTGCGAAGCACAACAAGAAGAACTCTGTCGGCTTCTGGGGAGGTCTACGGAGTGGCTATTAAGAATGAACGTCAGAAAACGTAAAAGGGTGCACTAAGGTCGTACCAATAGTATGGAGACGTATCACATGTCCCAACGCGACGTAGAAACGTCATTAACTAACACCAAATGTGAAAAGGACCTGGGTGTGCATGTTGACAACGAAGTTAGTTCTCGGACTACCGTACTGTGAGAAAAATCAAGCAAATCAAGCTAGTAGGTTTTATATGAAGATGATTCACATACCTAGATGGTTCGTTCCACACACACTCTTTTAAAGTGAGGTGCTTCCCCGTTTGGAGTACGGCCCGTCTGGTTAACGAGATATGCTTAGAGAGTGTCAGTTGATTGAAAACGGCCAAAAGAGGGCCACCAGATTGGTGCGCTGCTTGCACTGCGGCACCTCAGGTACCCAGAGAGATTAGAATACCTGCCGTTTCTGAACTTACACTATAGACGGGCAAAGGGGTGTTTAATATAACTTTGTAAGAACCTCAGAGAACATTAGACATCGAGTGTTCATACCTGGAACTAGCCGATCCCCGCCCTTATAGAGATCACAGGTTTAAAGAAGCCACAAGTTCTGAAAATTGGCAGAGAAAACTTTTTGGAATGAGTGTTGTAAACTTTTGGAATAATCTACCAGAGAGCTGTGACAGCACCGAGTGTAAGATATTTTAAGACCAAACTTGTCCAACACTGGTGCAGGTACAGCAGATACATTCTGGAGCCAGTGTACGGCCAGTACTTGCCAATAATGTGTAATAGAGACGTAACCGGCCGCCGAAGCAGCTAACAGTATAGAAAATACAATGTACATTGTAAACTGGCACTGCTTTCGTACATTGTATGCCTGCATTCTCTGCGAGCATAGTAGTATTTACTGTGTCCATTATATACATTGTATACTTGCACTGTCTATGTACAATCTCGTTCAAGATTCTTCGAACACTGCTGGAGACAGCTGGCAACTCAAGGCCGCTTGTTTGCTTAAGCACATAGTAAAAATTATGAATGCATGTAAAAAGGATCGGTGATTGGTTACTTAGTTCCCCATTGCTTAATTATTGGTTGGGTTTTTACATTCATTCATAATTTTTACTTCGTACTATAGTAAACAAACGTCCTTGCGTTGCCAGCTGTCTCCAGCAGTGTTCGAAGAATCTTGAACGAGACTGTACATTACATACCTTCACTGTCTATAAGCATTATATATCAGCACTGCTTTTTATACATTGTATACCATTACAGTTTATGTATATTGTATACCTGCACTATGTACAATGAAAGACAAAGTCGTGTCGTGAAATTTGTTGAAAACATATGCCGAAGGCTAAACTTTTGGTGCACTCTGCCTTGATGGACTGACAGGACACACCACTACGAAAAGTATCAGTAAAAAACTTTGCTACACAATATGACACTTTGTATACCTATACTATGTATATTATATACTGTATATGCACTGTCTATACATATTTATGATATTTTCACTTCATCCTCTTCACCACGGTCGGCTGTGGAGCGTCTGAACCAGTATGAACTTGTATGACGATTTTACTCATTAAATATCTATCTACAATATCTGGATGGTACACGCAAAATTACCTTTAATCCTAAATAATAAAGTTTGTCATTAAAGACGTTTTAAGAAACTCAGCAAATAATAATAATAATAATAATAATAATAATAAATTATGCAATGGTCAAGTCAGTTATGCCTTACCTTCTTGGCAGCAGGAGGCGCTCTGGCTTCATGACCACACACCCGTCGTTTATATATCCCTACCCCAGATCACTGAGTCATTCACCAGCACCACCGCCTGCTATTATTAGAATTGTTAAAACAATGTACCTAGGCTATATAAGATCTCTGATAGATTACCACGCACCAGCCCTGGTCCTTCGTTACAGGAAAGGCGTTGACAAGCTCGAGAAAATGCAAAATTAAGCCCTCAGAATTATCCTAGGATGTCCCATGAACACTAAAGTACTTAATATGAGGAAAGAACTAGGTATACCCAGTGTAAAAAATAGAATAATTGAAGTCAACCTCATGATAGCCCTGAGGCTTCTGCGTGGTGATCCTGATAACATTGTTTCCTTAAAATTGCTAGAATGTATGAACCATGGGACTGGTGAGTCTAAATGGATCCAAACTAAAACAACATATACTGTATGAAGATGTTTGGACTAGACCATCTATACAAAGTTGAGACACAACAGTCCTTCCTGCCACCCTGGCGGACAGTTCCCTTCGATATCACAATACCGACATATCCTCCTAAAAAATAATTATACAAAGTATTTATCTCCAACACACAAGTGAGAGCTCTAAACACATATATACTCTACAGACTGATGATAATATCACACAGACCATCTACACTGATGGATCTCTAAACACCGCCTGTGGAGTGGCTGTTATTGTTGTGACTCAACCTGACGGTAATATAATTGAGAAAGGAGTTAGAATTAACAACTGGGCATCCACTCTACAAACTGAATTAGTTGCCATACTCACAGCTATTAAATTCATTGAAACCACTATCACTGACAGTCTCATCATCACTGACTATATCCTCACTACTTGCCCTTGGCACCAACTCAAGTTGTCACACGCTTGTCTCTGAAGCCAGACACAAATATGCGTACCTTGTTGACCGGGGTGTCAAGGACAATCTGTTGTGGATCCCCTCTCACATAGGCCTCATAAAACAGGAGTGAAGTGCTTCCCTATCTGGAGTATTGTCACCCCATCTGGTCCCGGAGATATGCTAGGGACTGTCAGTTGGTTGAAAATGTTCAAAGGAGGGCCACCAGACTGGTGCCTGCACTTCGGCACCTCAGCTACCCTGAGAGATTGGAGCGCCTGAACTTGCCTAGCTTATACTACAGACGAGCAAGGGGGGACCTAGTTGAGGTGTATAAGCATCTCAGGGGGCACTACTCAGTTGAGTGTCCTTACTTGAGCTGGCGGACGCCCGCCCCACAAGGGGTCACAGCTCAAGATTGAAGAAGCCACAAGTCCAGAAAACCGTGAGGGCAAACTTTTCAGGAGGAGGGTTGTAAACTCTGAACAATCTACCAGAGAGTGTTGTGGCGGCACCGTGTGAGCTCTTTCAAGACAAGACTTGACTAACACTGGAGCGGGTTCAGGTACATTCAGGAGCCGGTGCATGCCCAGTATTTGCCAACAGTGTGTGACAGAGACGTCACCGATCGCCCGGGCGGCTAGCAAGCCGATCTTTTGGTGAAGAAGATAAATGGAAAGGAAAAAGTAATCAGAGACGTGACCGATCGCCCAAGCGGCTAACGAGCTGATCAGTGGCGAAGAGGATAAAAGTAAAAAGTAAAAAGTATGACAGAGTTGATGCCCTCGCCAAACGCGCGCCTAACAAACACACCGTTGAATACAATTTGGGTCTGTCAAAAAAAACCCTTAAAACTGTAATTAGGAAAGAACTTATTGATGAATTTGACGCAAGTAGACAGGTGCAAACAGGCACTAGTCGATCCATAGTTTACCATGATGAGATGTATCAAGTGAAACATGTATATGGAGCAAGTAACAAGATCACTAGATTACAAGGTTTTGTAACCGCTAGATTAAGGTTAGGATATACAGTAAGTACTCTGGCAGTATGTCCTCAAGCAGATGTAAACAAGACTAATATAAAGTGTGTGGCCAGACATATGCCACACACTTGAACACTACGTCCTCGACTGTGTGAAGATAGAACCTTTAGGACAGGTCCAAGCACACTGTGTGTGAAATGGCACAACACTTCATCTCTAATGGCAAGATAGCCGACATATTAAGATTGTATACACTTTTTTGTACTTAGTAACTATATCAGTTCTAATGTACAGAACCACTACACAATGTAAGCTCTACTCTGTAATCCTTTTGCGCTATCGCTCACAGGATGAGTGTGGGGTGCACAATAAAGTAGCCGCTATAAGCGGCAAAATCAAAATCATGTGAAGTGAGCAGTCACAAAAAAAAGGGGGGGGGGGAGCATTGTAGGGCGTTCAAAGATTTTCAGGGACCGCCTATCTTCTGCTGGATTTGCTGCTTTCTTATGAATAATTAATTAAAAGGGGGACGTGCTACTGCTGGATAATATTGGACTGAGAGACTCAACAGAAATAACCTAGACGAACATTTGGGACTTTATTGGAGGGGCGTATCATAGCAGAGAGCAGTGCATCGCTCACGGCGGTAACGCTGATGAATGGAGGACAATGAATGGAAGAAAAGGCTGTGTTTGAGTTTGAATTAGTCCACCCTGGCAAAAATAAGCTTAATGTAAACAAAACAATAACGCTAACAGGGAGTTTGTACTTGGGATCCATTCTCAGGGTTCTTTACAGCTATAAAATGCTGAAATCTCTTCGTAATTTTAGTTACCTAAATTTTGTCTTAGAAAAATTGTTATGCAAATTCATTAAGATTTGTATGCAATTTCCCTATGCCAGTCTTATGTTTTTATAGCCTACTGAGTCAACCAGTAAATGAATACTTACATCTTTAACTGTGAGGAATATTTGCCGGAGAAACTTTTTGAAGAGCAGTAAATCCTCATAAATATCCGTTTTTGTTTTCATAACACTGACTACATACACAGACATGCGTCTCATAACTTTTTATTGCAGATGACTAGTGGAATTACTAATCTAGTTTACGCACTTAATGATCTAAGATTTTGAAACACAGTACAATAATGTATTATAAGATCAACATCAACATGGCTCCAGCTTCTCAAACAATTGGAAGTACATTAATAATCATTTGACGAGTAGAGACATGCAGAAAGTTTCTGGCCGTCTACATAATACCAAGCGGCTAACGAGCCGATCAATGGCGAAGAAGATAAAAGAGCACTATGTAAGAGATCAACTTTTATTTTATTTTGGCTGCATCTTCCGAGGTGATCGAGCATTACCTACAGTGACCTACAAGGAGTCTTAGACGCAGTTAGCTTCATCCAGAGGAGACTACAGTATGTGACTCCCAATCTGCCATCCATATCCTCTCTCCGTAAGTGTCTCCCCGTAGTCCATCATAGAACACAAATCTAGATTTTATCTCTTAAGATCTTTTTTTTTTGCAGCACATAATCGGTGGATTACGTCTTATATTCTTATGTAACTCTTTTCTAATCATTACCCTATTTTCACACGGTTACTTTCATAATGACCCCACCCTACCTGATGCCATCAACTGAGATTTACCGTTCAAAAACAAGTTTTATTCTTCACTCAGCTCTGGTTATAGTGTTAAAAACAATGTAAACAACTCAAACAACATATCAATAATATATAATCAGTGTGATGCTGTGCTTAAGCCAACCCCCCAGGGGTTGGTAGGGGATAGAGCTAATGTGGCATCACAGGACACCAAACCTGTTCCGGGTCTTTGTTTTTCTTATTAATCTAATGGCCACCCAAATTAGAGGTCGTCATGCCGAGGGAATGAGGCCAATGACTTACATAGGATTAATGGATTCTTCTTGATGGTCTTGCCCAGGGAGCCACTGTGTAGACTCTCTTGGTAAGACTACCTGATGCCTTACTCTTCCTGATGCTAGACCTACACCCTCCATCTAGTGTAGTCTTACTCTCCCTGATGCTAGACCTACACCCTCCATCTAGTGTAGTCTTACTCTCCCTGATGCTGGACCTACACCCTCCATCTAGTGTAGTCTTACTCTCCCTGATGATGACCTACACCTCCATCTAATGTAGTCTCACTCTTCCTGGTCATGGACCTACACCCTCCACCTAGTGTAGTCTTACTCTCCCTGATACTGGACTCACCCTCCATCTAGTGTAGTTCTTACTCTCCCTCATCCTGGACCTACACCTCCATCTAGTGTAGTCTTACTCTCCCGATGCTGACCCACACCGCCATCTAGTGTAGTCTTACTCTCCTCATCCTGGACCTACACCTCCACCTAGTGTAGTCTACTCTCCCTGATGCTGGACCTACACCCTCCATCTAGTGTAGTCTTACTCTCCTCATCCTGACCTACACCTCCACCTAGTGTAGTCTTACTCTCCTGATCCTGACCTACACCTCCATCTAATGTAGTCTCACTCTTCCTGGTCATGGACCCACACCTCCACCTAGTGTAGTCTTACTCTCCATGATGCTGGACCCACACCTCCATCTAGTGTAGTCTTACTCTCCTGGTCATGGACCCACAGCCTCCAACGCAGTGTAGTCTTACTTCCCGATGCTGGCCCACACCCCCATCTAGTGTAGTCTTACTCTCCCTCATCCTGGACCTACACCCTGCACCTAGTGTAGTCTTAGTCTCCCTGATTCTGCCTATACCTCCATCTAGTGTAGTCTTACTTCTCTGACATGGACCCACACCTCCACCTATTGTAGTCTTACTCTCCTGGTCATGGACCTACACCTCCACCTAGTGTAGTCTTACTCTGATACGGACCTTCACCCTCCATCTAGTGTAGTCTTACTCTCCTGATCATGGACCTACACCCTCCATCTAGTGTAGTCTTACTCTCCCTGATCCTGACCTACACCCTCCATCTAGTGTAGTCTTTACTCTCCCTGATCCTGGACCTACACCTCCATCTAGTGTGTAGTATTACTCTCCTCATCCTGACCTACACCTCCACCTAGTGTAGTCTTACTCTCCCTGATGCTGGACCTACACCTCCATCTAGTGTAGTTTTACTCTCCCTGGTCATGGACCTACACCTCCACCTAGTGTAGTCTTTCTCTCCTCATCCTGACCTACACCTCCACCTAGTGTAGTCTTACTCTCCCTGATCCTGGACCTACACCCTCCT